GGCAAATTGTCTCCAAAAATAGCCCCCAAGTTGGGGGAGGGTATAGCTCAGTGGTAGAGTACATGCCTAGCACGCACAAGGTCCTGGGTTCAGTCCCCAGTACTTCCATTAAAAAAAATAAGTAAACCTAATTACTTCCCTCTGGCAAAAAAAAAAGTCTGTAAGTGTCCTTCCCATCTCTGTAAGCACCACACTACCTACCCATCAAGAGGTGAAGTCTATTTCTCCTCCCATAGTATGAACTAACTTTGGCCAACAAAATGCAGCAGAAGCAACACAGTGCCAGTTCTGGACCTAGTGCTTAAGGGGCCTGACAGCTTCTGCTTTACTTCTCTTGGAGCCTTGAGTCACCAGGTAAAGAAGCCCTGCTGGAGAGATTGGTCCAGCCAGCCCCTAGCTGTTCTAGACACCTAAGCTGAGAAGCCACACATATGGGTAAAGCCATCCACATCCTCCAGCCCCAGGCCAGCTGACCCAGCCAACACTTCATGGAGCAGACATGAGCTGTTCCTGCCAATCCCTTCCCAAATCACAGACTTAGGAGCCAATAAATAAATGATGACTGCTGTTTTATGCCAAAGAACTTGGGGGAGGTTTACTATGTAGCTATTACTATCCCCTATTGGCTATATAGTAAACTCGGAGGAGGTTTACTATATAGCCAATAGGGGACAGAGCAGACAGACACCGAGATGCCTGTAGGGAGAGTGAAAAGGTTTCTAAGTTTTATCCTTCAGTTTATGCCACACGTAGGCTCAGAACAACCTCCCTCTCCTTTTTTGAGTTAAATTAAGCAAGTCTCTGTCCCCTGCAACAGTAAGAGCCAGACACACATGTCTCTTCCTCTCCTTTCTCTTTGCAGGTGTTTTCATTGTTCAAAGATTCTGGATGAACATCTCTTAGTTCAGCACATCCCCATTCATTTCCTCACTTATTGAGTAACATCACCTGATTTTTAAAGTGGTTTGTTGTGAAATGCATCATTCAAATAAAAGAGGCAATAAAAATCATTTGTGCAACTTAAATGTAATAATGGAGCAAACAGTCATCTACCCAGTTTGAGAGACAAAACATAGCCAGTCCTTTCCAAGCCTCTGTTTATTCCTCCTCAATTGCCGTCTTCTCTACACCCCCCAGTGCTAACCACTGTGTCACTTTTATGGTGATCGGTCCCATTTTTCCTTTCAGTTTTCCGCCTATATATGCATCCTGAAATAGTACTCAGTTTTGAAAATCTGAGTGGCGAGCATCAGTCAAGAAGGGTAAGGAAAGGGCGATGCTGCCACTGTTGAAAGAGAAGATAAGCTGAAATGTTTCTGGGTCATGGTCTGGCTGCAGCTTCCTTGGGCATTTGTAAGAGCCTTTTATGGGAAAACCATTGAGTAAGATGATGCATCAGGGTCAGCACAGGTAAGACATGTGGCAGCACTGTAGCACAGGCCAGGTTGCAGGTGTTCGGCCAGGAGACAGTCAGAGGGAAAGGCTGCTCTGGATTTTCTGCTGACCGTGACTTCCCTCCAACTCCTAGAAGAGGTCAAAGCAGAACATTTCTAGACAGTATGCACAGCAGATCAGGCAGCAGGACATGCAGGAGTGATCAGCATGTGGGTGAAGTACAGAGAAAAATCTGGGCCAGACTCTCTGGGCATTTTATCCTTGATTTAGAAGTTTGCAGGATGGTGCACCCTAACGTTCATAACAGCACTTTTCTACAATAGCCAAGACACAGAAGCAGCCTAAATGTCCATCAACAGATGAATGGATAAAGAAAATGTGGTATATATATACAATGGAACACTACTCGGCCATAAAAAGGAATGAAATAATGTCATTGGCAGCAACGTGGATGGACCAATGGACCTGGAGATCATCATACTAAGTGAATTAAGTCAGAGAAAGACAAACATCATATGATATCATCTATATGTAGAATCTTAAAAAATGACACAAATGACTAATTTACAAAACAGAAACAGACTCATAGACATAGAAAACAAACTTATGGTACTGGAGTTGGGGGAGGGGAGAGGGGAGGGAGGGATAAA